CCTTCAGCTCGTCCACCAGGCTGGAAAGACAGTTCAGCTCTCAAGGCTGCTCTTCTGAGCCTCCCCCCGCTCCTTGGCACAAAGCTGCCCGTCCCTCCAGCTCCAGGCTGGATACGGAACCCCCTCTGGCCCCCACACTGCCCTGCCTGCCACTGGCCACTCCATGTCCCCACCAGACACAGGCTGCTCAAGAGAAACGTAGTGGCAATGGCTAGCTAGACGTGGGAGAAGGGGGAGAGGGATGGGCTGATGGGAGGAGCGGCAGGAGGACAAGTAGGCAGATGGAAGGACAGACACATGGACAGACAATGGGTGGGGCACGGGATGGACAGATAGAAGGTTGGACAGATGGTGGGATGGGAGGATGGATGGACAAAAGAGGAAGAACACAATTAAAAGATAAGTTGGCATATTAGTCTTGATTATAACTTTCAAATGAAATCCCTATATTAACAGTTGCCAGTGGCAGAAGCGGGAAGAATGATCATTGTGGGGACCACATGGGTTTGAGGGAATGATCAGTTGGACACCCACTGGTTCTTCCCATGCTCTTGAGAAGGGCAGAAGGAATCTCCCAGGCAGAGGCGGGAATGGTATCCAAGCAGAGGGACTGGCCAGAGCCTAGGTCAGAATCCCAAGTGTGTACAGCCCCTCAGAGCTGCTGCAAGTGGCTTGGCATGGATGGGCCAGGGTCTGGAAGGAGTCATGGGGGTGTAGGATGGGAGCTGGGGGGGCGGCGTCCTGCAGACACCCACCTAGGTGTGATGGTTCGCATGCGGATGCCGATGAAGCGCTTCTTCCAGTCTGGAAAGAAAACACAGTGGGACTTGGTTAGGGCTTCTGCGAAAGCCACCACCCCCTCTAAAGGAATAGCCAGGGTTAGAAATTCCCCTATAGGCTCAGGAAGCAGCAGGAGCAGTCCTGTCCACCCAGCCCCTCTGTGCTCAAGCACCTAGAGCTGGCCTCTTCTCCTGACCGCTGTCATGGAGCCTGGAGGTGTTCTATGTCCTGCGTGGCTCACCCCACACTGGCCTCATGTCCACCCCATCCTGCACCCAACCATGTCAGCTCCATGCCCAACCCCAGTGGCCAGCGGGGCTCTCCTCTCCAGCTTCCATGCTGCTGGTTCCCCAGATTCTCCTTGCTTGGAACTGAACCTGTCACCTTCCCCTGCCTTCCTCCTAAACAACAATATTAAATGACAGTGCCCGGGCCCTGTGGTAGGAGCGTCACACACACAACCCACAGAGAGGGCCCCTCCACCCCCAGCTGCTCTAGCCTGTGACTCAGCAGGTGCCTTACCCAGAAATAACTTTAACACATTCTGAACCATAAAACAAGACTCAATAAATTTTAAATTTTCATTTCACAAAAGTTTCTTGACCACAATGGAATTAAACTAGAAATCAATAATAGAAAGGTATCTAGAAAATTCCCAAATACTTGGAAACTAAATAACATACTTCTAAACAGCCCATCTTCAAAGAAGAAATCAAAAGGGGAATTAGAAAGTATTTTTGACTGAATAAAAATGTGTATACAACATATCAAAATTTATAGGATATGGAGGTAGCACTTACAGGGAGGTTAATAGCACTAAGGGGCCTACTTTGGAAAATAAGAAAAGTATCAAATCAATAATCTCAGTTTCCATTTTAAAAACTAGAAAAAGAAGACCAAATGAAACCCAGAGTAAGCAGAAGAAAGGAAATAATAAAGATAAGAGTGTAAATCAATGAAATAGGAAACAACAACACAGTAAAAAAATTTTAAATAAAAGCTGTGTCTTTGAGATCAATAAAATTTATAAATCTTTGGCAAGACTGATTATGAAAAAAAGAGAGAAGATACAATTATCAATCAAGAATTAGAGAGGTGACATCACTACAGATCCTACAGACATTAAAAGGATAATAAGAAAATATTATGAACAACCTGATGCCAATAAATTTGACAACTTAGACAAAATGGACAGATTTTCTTCACATTTCCAAACTACCAAAGCTCACTCAAGAAGAAATAGAAAACCTGAATATCCCTGCATCTATTAAAGAAATTCAATTTGTAGTTAAAAATCTTTCCAGAAAGAAAACTTCAAGCCCAGAAGGTCTCACTGGAGAAATGTGCCAAATGTTTAAGGAAGAAATAGTACCAACTCTACACAAACTCCTCCAAAAAACTGAAAATAAGTTATTACTTCTAAACTCATTGTCATGATACCAAAACCAGAAAAGAAAACTAGACCAATATCCCACACAAAGACAGATGCAAAGATTCTTTAAGTAAATCAAATACAACAATCTATATTAATAAAAAAGATAATACACCATGACTAAGTAAACTTAATCCCACGAACGTAAGGTTGGTTTAACATTTAAAAATCAACCAATGCAATTTACCACGTTAATAGACTAAAAAGGAAAACCTTATGGTCATCCCAAAAGATGTACAAAAAGCATCTGACAAAATCTTACATCTGTTCTTAATAAAAACTGGAAATAGAAAAGAATTTTACAACCTGATAAAGGACATCAATGAAAAATCTTTAGGTAACATCACACTTAACATTGAAAGACTGAATGTTTTCTCCCTTACATCAGGAACTGGACAAGGTTGTCCATTCTCACCAGTTTTATTCAATATTATGCTGAAAGTTCTAGCCAAGCAACACAAAAAAGGCATTCAGATGGGAAAGGAAGAAGTAAAACTCTTTATTCACAGACTGCATAACATTCTCTGTTGAAAATCTGATGAAATCTACAAAAAAATCTCTTAGAACCAGTAAGTGAATTATCAAGATATCTGATGATCAACATGCAAAAATCATTTTTATTTGTATATTCTAGTAGCAAACCACCAGAAACCACCAGAAATACGGAAATGAAAAGGACCTGGAAGAGTCAAAACAACCTTGAAGAGGAAGAACAAAGTTGGAGGACTTACACCACCGGAATTCAAGACTTATTGTAAAGCTACAGTTAATCGAGACAGTGTAATATTGGTCTAGAGACAGACAGACAACTGGAACAACATGTGATCATTTTGCGGGACAAAGGCGTGTAGGCACTTCAATAGAGAAAAGATAGTCTTTTCAACAAGTGGTGCTAGAAATATTGAATAGCCAAAGCAAGCCCCCCCCCCAAAAACCCCCAAAATTTTGATCTATACTTTGCACTATTAAATTCAAAATGCATCATAGTCCCAAATCTGAAACCTCAAAAAGTAAAACTTCTAGAAAATGTAGGAGAAAATCATTCAGGTTCCAGGTTAGCAAAGATTTCTTAGGTACAACACCAAATGCATGATCAGTTAAAAACATTAGACCTCATCAAAATTTATGGAACTTCTGCTCTTTAAAGACACTGTTAAGAGAATGAAAGACAAGCCATGGACTAGGAGAAAATATCTGCAATTCACTTAATCCGGCAAAGGGCTCGCATCCAGGATGTGTAAAGAGCTCTCGCAACTTACTGATAAGAACATAAACCACCCAAATTTCTTAAATGGGTAAAATATTTAAACAGACACGTCACTAAAGATTAATGAATGGTAAATAAGCCAAGTGGGAGGTGGTCAGAGCGGGCGGGTGGCCTGACCCCATGGGCCTGGTGGTTTCCTCCCTGAATCACGAGCGTGACCTGCCCACAGTTTTGAGAGGACTGTCCACTGTGGGAGGGTCTGTGGGCCGAGGGCGGTGACAGGAGCACAGGCTGGACCTGGGCTGGAGGCGGGTGGTAAGGGCAGGATGTGTCTTGAAGTCACATGTGTCCAAGGCACTTGCAGGGGTGGACGGGACATGGGAGATGTGGAAGGTGGGCGGAGAAGTGGGGCTGCAGGAGCAGGGTCCTGTCGGGTGCACCGGAGTGGGAGCTGCCCATCGATGTCAATAGGGAAGCTCTGAGCCTGGAGGTGGGGAGAGGATGGGAGTGGTGTGCAAATCTGGGGAGTCACTTTCTAGGGGTGTCTAAATCCACAATACTGGCCAGGCACAGCCATCTTGGGGGTGCTTCCTGCTCCACTACCTGGGGTCCCCCAGTCCCTAGAACCTGCTGCCTCTCCCTGCCTGAGGTCTCAGCCAGAGGTCACCTCCTGAGTGGGGTCTCCCTGTCCCCATCCGCTGCAGTCTCCACCCTCATGTGCTCTGCCCCCTCCCCCAGCCCCAGTGCCCCATCACTCCAACCTCATGGCCTGCAGGGCGCTTTGGTGGCTTGCCGCCCTGCTGGAAGGAAGCACAGAGGGCAGCACCCCCATCTGTCTGGCTGTGGGAGTCCAAGGCACAGAGTGGGCACTTGTGTGCTTGCCCTGGTGCCGCTGATGTAGACCCCCTGTGTGGGCAAGAAGGCCAAGACTCGCGATGGGCTTGGTTCTTGGGGACTCTTCCCTTGGAGCTTCAGGAGAGGTGCGCAGAGCACCCCCCAGCTGGGCCACCTGGCTCCCCACCCTTCTCCTGCCGGGTGGGTGGGCTGCCTCCTCCCGCCTTCTCATCTACTTGGGAGGGACTCAGGACTCCGCCCAGCATGGAGTGGGGGCTTCCAGGGTCTGCCCGGGGAACCCTGTGACCTCTGAGCCCAGAGAACATGCGTCCCCTCTTCCCTGCCCCTCCCCCGCCCCACCTCCCTGCAGCTCTCCCTTGTCTCGTGGGCCACAGAGATCGGCAGGGACGTGAGGCAAATGAGGGTTTTACCCCGAGGCCAGAGGTGACCACTGAGGAGCCGTCTCCCACAGTCTCCCCCATGTGGCAGACATCCACATGAACTCGGACACCCCACCTTATGGGGACACCCTCTGGCCCTAAGGCTGGCTGAACCCCAAGCCCTCCCAGGGCTCCAGGCCAAGGCAGTGCCACAGCTCCTCCAGACCAGCGTGGTGGTCACTCTATACCTTGCAGGCCCCCACTAGCCTCTGCACCCCACTCCCTAGGCAAGATTAAGCAGCCCACATAACGTCTCCTTGATTTAATAAAAAGCTTGTTCATTTTAAAGAACTTTAGATTAACTGGGTTTGGATCATTTGATGTTTTTATTAAAAAAAAGAAAAACGAAGACAAACACCAGTCAACTTCAGAAGGATTTTAAATAACAGATTCCATCATTCCACTAAGATTTATCAGTCTCTTCAGTTAGTCTGCACTGTCCTTGGGGAGGTGACACATCTCTGGGGACAGGGATAGGTGTTTCCTGGGGGCCTGGGGCAAGGTCAGTGCCAACTGAGACCATCCCTGGACAGCAAAGGAGCAAACAAACCCAGCCCCAGTGGGCCCCGCCTGAGAGGGAGGAAGAGGCAAGAGGGAAGAGGATGCTATCAGCCCACTTCCAACCAAAGTCACCTCGCAGCTGAGTCTGTGCAAAGTGCAGCACCACTGATCTCCAGGAAGTGGCCAAAGTCAAAAGACCCATGGAGCAGAGGATCATTAAACTGGAAAGTCTCCATCGTCAGAGAAAGGACCAAGGCTAGGGAAAAGTATGAAGGTACAGCCTCGGGTCTAGTTCTGCGCTTCCTAGCAGCCAAGAGGAAAAGGGCTCAAGAGATTATACAGTCCCCACAGTCCGATAGAAGAAGCCTTAAGCTTCTTTGGGAAGGACAGGCTCTGCCTCACTCTGGATCATCTTCACATAAGGGGCACTGGAGAAGAAACAGAGGGGTGCTCCACAGCAGCTCTCCATGTGACCAGTCCTCATGGCACCAGTCCTGGCTGCACTGGGCTCCATGTGCTGGCAGGGTCGTGGAGGAGGGGCAAGCGTGAGGAAGGCTTCCTGCTCTCAATGGACTGCTGGTGAGGGGGCTGGGAGAAGACAGAGAAGCAAGTTGAAGGTGTGTGTAGTGGGCCTGAGCCAGGCCTGGGCATTGGCCAGGAGGTGGGTACAAGACACACAATGGCAGGAGGGAGAAGCTTCCCTGGGATGGCCCCCAGGAAAGGCCCTGGGATGGCCCCCAGGAAAGGCCCTGAGGTCAGAAATGTGGTCTCATTCCGGGAGGTGGCTGTGACCACCAATTTAAGAAGGTGAGTGGGTGTTCTCATTTGAAAGAGTCACCGTGTGTCCTGTTGAGATCTCCACCAGACTGATGCTCAGGGCTCCATCTAGGAGTGGGCAGGGTGGGCTGCACATCCCTTTTGGATGGGATGGGGAGATGGGGACAGGGAGGAGGGTGACTCCAAGGATCAGGGCTCTGCTTCCCTGGAGTAGAAGATACCCTACTGGGTGGTCTGCATGGCCCACAGGCTGAAAGAGGGATGGGCGGATGGATGGAAAGAAGGATGAATGGATGGATGAAGGGAAGGACGAATGAATGGGTAGAAGAAGGAAAAGAAGGTTGGATGAATAGATGGACAGGTGAGTGGGTGGATGGATGGATGGGTAGGTGGAAAGGTGGATGAGTGGTGAGTGGATCGATGAAAGGAAGGAAGACAGGCAGGAAGGGAGGATGGATGGATGGATGGATGGATGGAT